AAACGAAGTTTTACTTTTGCTTTCAAGATTGCACAAAGAAAAACGTAATCCAAGCCCATGAGGCCATCAAGTATATATAACTTTTAGATTCTCTAATTTGTGTACTTTAAATATCATAAACTTATATTTCATTGAACTGTCGAGTCTATTTGTATTTCATTGTTAAAATTAGTATTGATGGATTATAGGGTATCCAAAGTATATTAATTAGGAGAGATTGAGCTTAATAATGCGGAGAAGAAGATGAATAGTAGAGTGTATGAATTGAGAGTTTTAGAGTTGTGTCCTAGGGTTACAAGCTCCAAAAAGAGTATAGATAGAGAAATAATGGGTCGGGTCACTAATATGGGCCCGATAGGCCCAACTACATAAAAGACTAATCTAGTACATACAGACGATATATGAACAATACAATAAAACAAAAGACATCCGATAAGCGTGTGTGGGCCGCTGTCCAAACCCAATAGTTGTGAGACCCGGGGGTCCGAGTCTATATACTCCATCAGGAGTCCCCCACTCCCTGAGTTGAGAGTACTCGAGGCGAAAGGGAGTAGAACTGTGTGCTGATCTATCATCGTCTGGTGAGTAAACTTCGTGAAAAAATTTGAATTTCTGCTTCTTTGGTTAACGGAGGCGCTATGTCCTCCGCTCCTCCAGTCCCCCACTCTTTGAGGTGAATGTAGTGAGGTGAAGAGGAGTAGAATGGTGCATGTCTTGTGATGTCTTCAATAAGGGGCCGAGGGTCGACACCTTTTGTCCACGTTGGGGAGATGCCTCGTTAAAAACCTCATTAGGAAAAAACCCAGTGGAAAAAATCCTAATGAGGGAAAAAGAGTACACCGGATGCCCCCAAAATGAAGCAAAAGGGGTGAGCCCTTCGACCTAGGTGTGGAGCTGCAACGGTGTCCGTCTGCTGAGGGGATGGTCGAGACCAGTCTCTAGATATGAGTAGCTCGGCATGATAAGTAGTCCTAGTCATCAAATAAAGATGACTAAGGGATGGGTCGAGCGACCGTCCATAATATGATGTCTGGTCCATCAAATAAAGATGACCAGAATATAAGGCCGATGGGCCGATATGAGCTCCACATCATCAAATAAAGACGACTGGGAGGCTAACGGCCGAGAGGCCTGTATGAGAGTTCCACGTCGTCGAATAAGGACGACGGGGCGCTGTGTGGCCGAGGGGCTTGCATAAGAGCTCCACGTCTTCAAATAAAGACGACTGGGAGGCTAATGGCCGAGAGGCCTGTATGAGAGTTCCAGGTCGTCGAATAAGGATGATGGGGCGATGTATGGTCGAGGGACCTGCATAAGAGCTCCACGTCGTCAAATAAAGACGACGGTGCGATGCATGGCCGGTGGGCTTGCAAATGAGCTTCGCGTCATCAAATAAAGATGACGGAGCAAGATATGGCTCAGAGGCCTACACATGAGTTCCTCGTCATCAAATAAAGATGACAGAGCGATATATGACTGATGGGCCTGTAGATGAGCTCTTCGTCATCAAATAAAGATGACAAGGTGATATATGCCGATAGGCATGTAGATTAGCTCTTCGTCATCAAATAAAGATGACCGAGCGATATATGGCCGATGGGCCTATAAGAAGTCCAAGCCATCAAATAAAGATGACCAGGAGAGACGGCCAAGTGGCCGATATGATATCATCATTTAGTTGCACCTATGCATTCAAATAAAATTGTTATAATTTCTTGAGCTTATAATTTGCTATTGGATTTGGGCATAAAGGACTGAACCTACCGCTGAGGGATTGCAGTTCATTTCCGATAGCTAGAGGCACACATAACTCATACAAAACATAGAAACTACAGTATGTATTATATAACATTTGGATTGGGAGCTTACTATCCACACTCGTTTGACGTGACCCGGTGGCGCGAGTGTGTGTGCTCGCCCGGTGTACACGAGTGCTCGGAATTTCATAAGTCCGTTTTTTCAATGTCAAAAAATACACACTATTTAAAAAAATGATAGTAAAGTAATAATCTAGGTTAACCTTTCACTCAAGTTCGTAGTTGGGATCCGCTGGACGCTATTTACGGATCTTTTCACGGATGACTCGCCCCTCGAGATTGAAGTTTGACGCTATATTATTAAAATATTTCATTTATGATTTTTTTATATTTTGAAATTTTAATCAAATTTATTCATGAATATTAATAAATGGAAGGAGTTTTAGATACTTAGCTCTTTGGAATGGGCTGAAATATTGGACTGTTATTGAAATACAATCCATTGAAAGACTTGCCCAAAGATGGTCCAGCCACTCAAGCCTCTTTCACTTGACCCAAAAGTCCAAAAATACCTTGTCCTATCATCTGTTATACGGCCAACCAGTTCTTCTCAAGTCCTCGGTCCTGGAGATTTTCATGGCCAGACTCCATTGCCGTTGGGTATGAAGACGAGAGACGATCTGGAGATGTGAGGCTTGAAGAAAAGAAGGATGCCCTGGTCATGACGTTGTCGGAGGAGGGAAGGACGAAGGACATTCTGCTGATCATTTCCGCAGTGAAACCCTGTTTGTTCTCCGTGCACGGACGATTCTGGTCTAGAAATATCATCTCTCTTCGTTGATGGCTGCGAACGGAGAGTGGATGAGGGTTTGTCGGAACTCCTGCTTTGTGCGACACCACTCTGTCCTCGTCGAGATCTGGAGCGACAGCTTCTAAGGGAGCCTGTTGTGGCCATTAATGGCAGAAACCTCGCACTAGCTCACCCGACTCGAGGGGGCTCTAATCGACGGCGCTGGGGCGGAAGTGGAGAACAAGCTTCGAGCGACGACCAACAACCTTTTGACGGAGGGAGGAGCTGCGAGCGACGCTGATGGAGGCCATATCTCCAGGTTTGCTGGCGACGATGGCTACCATCTAGAGAGCAGCAGGTATGCGGTGGCAGCTAGCAACCTCCGGCTGATGACGGCTACCATGGACGGTGAAGTGGTTTTGTCTCACATCTGCGAAATCCCTGTTTTTTGGATTCAGAACAGAATTTTGGGTGGATTTTTGTGATTGTGATGAACATTTGTATTTTTTGGGAGGAAACTAACTTGATTTTGCTCAAACTGTCGATGAAAGCACCATTGATGGATTATAGGGTATCCAAAGTATATTAATTAGAGAGATTGAGCTTAATAATGTGGAGAAGAATATGAATAGTAGAGTGTATGAATTGAGAGTTTTAGAGTTGTGTCCTAGGGTTACAAGCTCCAAAAGGATTATAAATAGAGAAATAATGGGCTGAGCCGCTAATATGGGCCCGATAGGCCCAACTACATAAAAGACTAATCTAGTACATACAGACGATATGTGAACAATACAATAAAACAAAAGGCATCCGATAAGCGTGTGTGGGTTGCTGTCCAAACCCAATAGTCGTGAGACCCGGGGGTCCGAGTCTATATACTCCATCAAGTATTTTTCTTATTATAAGGGGCCTTAATTTGTCATTTGGCACTGAAGCCTCCAAATTCATTAGACAAACCTCCTCGAGAGGACATGTATCGACTCTTCCAACTCTAATGCTTCTTCCTTTGTCTTTAGTTATTCCATACAATATTTTCATTTTCACATTTGTCATTGCATAACTTTGAACATTAAATATTAATATAAAAAGTTTTAAAATCAGATTATGAAATTTGGAATGAGACGACTTCGCCATTATTTTTCAAAAAAAATGATTTTCACGTTACAAATAAAATGTAGTTAAAGTAGAACATGTATAATATTAAAAAAAATCACATTGTAAATACAAAGAAACAACAGATAGTATCAACAAAATAGGATGTTTCATGTAATCAAAAGAAATTGTTCCAAATATGAATCAAATATAAACGAAGTGTATACATAAAAAAGTAGGATAAAATAATAATTAAAAGTATAAAAGTTTCATAATTAAAATTTAATGAATCTTATTTTTTTAGAAATAAAATAGAAAAGAATGGCATGGATATTACTACCTAACTTTCATTGGACAAAAATATAACTCAAATAAAAATATAACTCAAATTGATTTTGCCAAAAAACCAAGCTCCTTCTGCGCTATCCATCTTATTTGACGCGCAACAGCTTTCATTGGACAAAAGCAAGTCAGATCTATCGATGCGAATATGATTCTGCACTTCGTCGCCATTCTTTTTCTTCTCTTTCTCTGTGACAACATCGCGAATGCAGCAACTGATTCCGAACGCTATGTGGCGAATTTGAGCTTCGAAGGTCCCGGGACAGGGACGGGCCCAAGATTGGGGATGGGGCGAGGAGCAGGGGTAGGGTTGCAGACGATGGGCGGTGCTGGTGGCTGAAGGTGAGGTGAGGCATCAATTCGAGATCTGGTTTGGAGGTGGTGACGGTAAGGTGGCAAGGGAGCGGTGGCGCGATTGAATCTGGATGGTTAGGGTTGCAGCAGGTGGTGCGGCGTTCGGGGAGGGGGCTTGGGCCGGGAAGGTGGATGGCCACTGGGAAGGGTGCTGGATTTGGGGGTTGTGGCAGGGAAGGATGCGGGGCGGCGCCGACAACAACAGCCGCGACGGTGACGGGCATTGGGTTGGATGGTGGTCATTGGGTTTGGCCAGCATGGGGTCGGGAGGGGCAGGGCAATGGACTGTCTAAAGGTTGACGATGGGATGGTATTTCCGGTGAGGGGCTGGCTGCGGTGGAGGATGTTCACTGGTCAGCTATGGCGGTCACCGGAAAAAATTCCATCGATCATAGTGACACATTTTGCGGCGTCAGTGACATTCGAAAGTGACATGAAAACCGATAGTGACATGTAAAAGTGACATAAAATTCTTTCAGTGACAAGTAAAAGTGACATAAAATTCTGACAGTGACATCATGTTTTCCAAATATATGATCTTGTTACTCACATTTTTGTCCAATTGTAAAATGGTCACATTATTGAAAATTGACTTTGATTTTGTAATATTGAAGGAAAAAACCCAATAAAATAATGATGATCCGATCCTATTTGCGCACCTTATCTATCATTTACTTTTATTTAAGTAATTTTCTCATCAAACTATGCTCCATCCTTAATATTGAATTTTGTCCTTCAAAGTTTGTAGACTTACTTGAAATTTGAAATTTGGTTGGACAGTTTTGAGCACTTTTATCTAACCAAAATGAAATTCAACATACAACAAAAACACTCATACTAGCTAATAAGCTAGCCAATAACACCTGAATCTTGATCATCTATGTTTCCCTTTCTGTGTGTAGATATAATCAAGGTGAGCTTCCAAAGTTCTCCTCATCAGACAATCTTCTTCTTCCTCCCCACCACAGCTATTCCCTTCCATCCCTCTGTTTATATCCATCTTATCCTAAAGTTTCAATATGCATAAACACAATAATATATTATTACATATAGGCATAAGTCAAAACTATCATCCAAGTGAGATCAATCAAAACTGTATTTTTTTTTTCTGAATTATTGGACTTACCACCCGATTAGATTCCACCGGAGTTACGTCCGTAAACGCCGGGACCGGCCGGGAAACGGCCTGAAACATCCCCTGCAGAAGGAGGAAGGCGACTATAGAGAGGCTCGTTACCTTTGACATTTTCCTATTCAACTCTCTCGCAACCTTTGACATTAAATTTGCAAAAGAAATGACGTTTGGTAATGAATACATAGGCAGACCTACAAAGACGCTAACTGTCGCATTAAAAGTATTCACACTTTTTTTCCCCTTTTTCTTTTGATATTTTTAAACTGATGGTCAACGGGCATAATTTGTCCATAAAATAATTCTCATGATGAGCAGCATACATTAAATGGTTTTTTTATACATGAGATTACAAATATATATATTATACATTTAAGAGTCATATTGGTGGAAGCTTTTGCGACATGTCATTCATTTAAGCATTTGCTGCATGTCACTCTTACAACACTCATTCACTCTCATGCTCCATCAATTTTAATTCTACTCCACATAATTAAATGGTATAGTATCAATTATTGACTTATTGTATATTATTAATTGGTAGTAAAAAATTATCATGTAAATAGAAATTGTTTCTATAAATATTCAAGAAATCACAAACATTAAACCGTCTTTAATACATGTTATTTTAGGCTCCATGTAATCTATATCTATATCTATATATATTATACATTAAAGCTAGAGTCATATTGGTGGAAGCTTTTGCCACATGTCATTCATTTAATCATTTGCCACATGTCACTCTTACAACACTCATTCACTCTCATGCTCCATCAATTTTAATTCTACGCCACATAATTAAATAGTATAATATCAATTATTGACTTATTGTATATTATTAATTGGTAGTAAAAAATTATCATGTAAAAATAAATTGTTTCTATAAATATTCAAGAAATCACAAATATTCAACCGTCTTTAATCCATGTTATTTTAGGCTCCATGTAATTGGTAACAAAATAAAGTAACATAAAAAATAATATATTAATATAAACTAATACTTGTACCATAAATCTTAACATGTACAAATAGATTAGTTTCTATATTTTAAAAATTACAATCATGTTTATTTCGGTTACCATCTACGGCATAGTCTTTACAATCATGTCCATTTTTACCATCATAATATATCGTATTTACAACTCTAATCTCATTACAGTACGGAAAAATTGAAAATAAAAATCTCAAATATTGTTAGTCCATTCACAATAATCCAAATTATTGATGAGTTTTTTTCAAAAAATATTTAACCCTTCATATTTTAAAGTTTGCAACACTTTTCCTTTTTGGTAAATTTCTTTAAAAAATACTCAATCACCCTTTCTTTTTCTACTTTTAAATTTTAATCTTCTACTTCGTATTTCATATTTTCACACCTTCTCTCCTATTTTTTGTACACTATTCATGACTCCTACTATTTTTCTTTTAAAATAATGTGGCAAAGCTAATGTAGAAACCTCTAAAAAATGGAAGGAGTACTAAAAGTAAACTTATTTAGACAAATATGACTGATAGATACTACTACGTACAATATATAGTGTCATGATCACTTATGTTTAAAAATTGAACATAAGTGACCATGACCCAAATGATTGATGGGATTTTTCAAATGTAATACTCTCTTCGTCCCATTGGACTTTGTCAACTTTTCCATTATGATTGTCCCTAAAGATCTTTGTCACTTTCCTATTAAAGCAACTAATTTGTGGTCCTGCACATTTCTCTTTCTTCTGCACAAATCTCAACCACATATATAGTTTTTACTTTTCTTATTTCTCACCTACTTTACACTTGGCAAAGTCCACATGGACGGAGGGAATACTAAAATAAAACTTATTTTCTCACGTTTATTTTTATATACGCGTATACGGTACTATATACCGTGCATCGCACGGGTTAGACACTAGTTTATTTACAAAAATTTGGCTAATATTTATTTACAAAAATTTATTACTAAATGTTTTTTGGAATACATAATTGGAACCACAACACACCAGGTGGGTGCCTACGCATCCGGTCATCACAATCGACGTGCAATCGGCGCTCTCCGCCTTCATCCAGACGCTCACCCAGAACCCGGGTGCCTTCGGCACTTTGGTTCCCCATCAACCTCAGGTCGGGGAGAATATTATGCCTTCCCCTCATCCACGACCCCTCGGTAACCCGGTCCTCCGGATGGGGAACTCCAAGGGGGTCGTGGCCCAAGATACGACCTCCCAGGAAGTCCAGTCCCGGGACCGCCACAACGTGAACAAGGAACAACTCTGGACCTCCGCCCTCGAGAGACTCGGAGGGGCGCAAGACCGCCGAGGGGTCCAAGACCGCCTCGGGGGGAAGGCGTTCCAAAGGCCTCAAGAAAGTGGCGGGTCCGTCTCCAGGGCCAATGAAAGGCGTCCCCCTCAGGACAAGGGCAAGGCACCTCTCCATGCCGACGACGCACGCCACCAAATCAACCAGGCCCACTCGTCCCGGGTCCATTCGTAGGGGGCGGAGGCCCTCTCGAAGGACCCCCAGGACGAAATCATTGCGGCCCTCCAGCGCCGGCTTGACGAGATGGAGGCCACCAAAGCCCACGCCACCACTTCTGCCCCTCATACAGACCTCAAGTATGAGGCGATGATGGCCAAGATGGAAGAAATGCAGAAGAAGATAGCCGAGGGCTCCAGGGAACCCACCATACAGCTCCGAACCCGGACGCCATTTACCCCAAGGGTATTGGCGGCCCGGATCCCGGAAAAATACCGAGGGCAGCTCATCAAGCCCTATGACGGAAAGACTGACCCCCAAGAGCACTACAGCAGGTATCAAAACAACATTATGATAGTGGGGGCATCGGATGAATATTTGTGCCGCTGGTTCCTCTCCACCCTAGAGGGCCAGCTTACGAATGGTTCAATCGATTGCCCGAGGGCTGCATTGGCTCATGGCAAGAACTCGCCCAGCGATTCTTGACGCAATTTGCGGGAAGGCGCCGCATAAGAAAACACTTCTCCCACTTGCTGACAGTGAGGCAGAAGAAGGAGGAGACCCTTCGGGACTTCCTGGAGCGTTGGAGAACGGAGGCTGATAAGGTTGATGGCGCTGACGACGGGACCCTCCTGGCCCTCCTACAAACAGTACTGCGCCCCGGGAGCTTCTCAAGTAGCCTCATCATCGAACCCCCCCCACGATTATATAAGGGCCCTACAGCGGGGGCGACCGGTACACCGAAGCCGAGGAGGTGGAGAAATGCCACCACGTCCCAGATCAGCAATGCCCTCGGCCAGACGACAAGGGTAACCGGGGGCTCCCCGCAATCATCCCAAGGATTCTGCCCCCTTCGGCGATCGCCCCTGGCATGGCCAAGCCAAGCCCGGGGGAGGTTACAAGGGGAACCCGAGGGCTTGGGCACAGCCTGTCCTCCTGGAGCACCCTCGGACACCATTGACACACCCCGTCAGTGTTATTCTTGATTTTGCTGAGGAGAGGGGCCTGGTGGAGCGAGATTCATGCGCGCCCCCAGAGGTATTTGCCATCAATCCGAACTACCCCTACTGTTGTTTCCACCGACACTAGGGGCACATGACCGATGACTGCCATCAGCTGAAGACGGCCATCGAAAGATTGATACAAGCGGGCCATCTGTCCCAGTTCATCCAGGGCCCTCAGCAACAAGGTCTCCCTCATCAGGGGCCACCCTGAGGGCAAACTGCGAGAACAAACGCATGGGTCAACCCCAACACCATCCCCCTCGGCAAAAAGAGGGAGATTGGGAACCTGGAAGAAGAGGAGGAGGAGTACCCCCGGTACCAAGAAAAGAAACACCACATCCTCATGATCACGGGGGGAAATACCGGGGGTGATTCTACGAGTCAACGAAAGAAGTGGGCTCAATCACTTTACGTGGGGGAAGTCACTCATATGCCCCCGGTAAAGTGGCTGAGGGAGGAACCCATTATCTTCACCAACGCTGATCTCCCCCCAGTATCCTCCCCCCACAGGGATGCCCTCGTCATCCGCACAGAGATCAACGACACTATTATTCACAGAATTTACATTGACACGGGCAGCTCCGTCAATGTAATGTACCTCAGCACCTTCAGAGAGCTGCATCTGGAGAGGGGGTCCCTTCGGCCCATCAAGACCCCTCTTGCCGGCTTCACCGACAACACCATTGATTCTGAGGGGGTCATAACCCTCCCGGTAATCTTCGGCGACGGCCTCCATAGAGCCAAGCTCGAAGTGGAGTTCGTCGTCGTCAACATCGACTGCGCCCACAACATCATCCTCGGCCGGCCAGCCCTCGAGGATCTCGAAGCCGTCATCTCCATGAGGCACCTCTGCCTCAAGTTCCCAGCCGAAGGGGGGATTGGTTACTCGAGGGGGGAACCAAAAGCTTACCCATGCTTGCTACCTTCAAGTTACAAAGAAGGTTAGCAAGACGGAGTTCCGCATTGACACCATCACCGGAACTGTGGAAGCGGAAGAAAGGAGGCCGAGGGCTGAACCAGTCGAGGAGGTAGAAGACTTCGCGCTCGATCCGGCCAAGCCGGAGAGAGTCGTGAAGATTGGAGCCAAGCTCCCCGAAGACCTGAAGACCGGGATCATCAGCGCCCTCCTCGCCTACTCCATTGTTTTTGCATGGGGACCGGAGGACATACCGGGGATCAGCCAAAGGGTCATCACCCACCGCCTCTCGGTGGACCCTTCGGCCAAACCAGTACAACAGCGGAGGAGACCCCTCTCCGCCGAGAGGAGGAAATTTGTGAAGAAGGAGGTCGCCATGCTCCTCTCTATCAGGCACATCAAGGAGGTAAAATACCCCTCATGGCTGGCAAACGTAGTCCTCGCACAGAAACCACCCTCATTCCGCATGTGCGTGGACTACACGGATCTCAACAAGGCGTGTCCCATGGACCCCTTTCCTTTTCCAAATATTGATCAACTTGTGGATGAAACCGCGGGGTGTGAAATCATGTCATTCCTCGACGCATTCCGCGGATATCATCAAATATACACGCATGAGGAAGACGCTAAAAAACAGCCTTCATGACTCCCGAGGGCATCTTCTGCTACCTCGTCATGGCCTTCGGCCTAGAGAACTCAGGTGCCACCTACACTAGGATGGTGGCCAGGGTATTCCAAGCTGTCCTAGGGCGCACCATGGAGGCGTATGTTGACGACATGATCTTCAAGAGCAAGCAATCAGCAAGCCATGCTGATGACCTGAGGGAGATCTTCGCCATCATGCAGAAGTTTAGC